AAGAAAATGTTCTTTCCCCATTGTATATTCTTAACTCCTGTGTCAAAACTCATCTAGCTGTAATGTATGGGGTTATTTCTAGGCTCCCTACTATCCGGGCTCCACTCAATTGGATCGGTCTATGTCCTTTTTAAAAATGTCATTACCCACATTGTTTTGATTACTATACAGTAGCTTTGTAGTGCATCTTTAGGTCTGTTTGCCTGATGCTTCCAGCTTTTCATTTTGCTCAAGATTTTTTTGGCTATATATGGACTTTTAGGCTTCCATACAATTTTCAAAATTATTTTTTCTGATGGTGTAAAGAAGGACATTGGTATTTTGATGGGGATTGTGTTGACTCTACAGATCATTTCTGGTACTATGGACTTTAATAATGATTCTTCCAATTCATGAGTATGTGATCATTCCATTAATTTGTATCTTTTTCAATTTCCTTCATCAATGTTTCATAGTTTTCACTATAGAGATCTTTCTTCCACCTCTTTGTTAAATTTGTTCTTAGGCTTGCTTGTAGCTATTGTAAATGGAACTATTTTCTTGATTTGTTTTGCAAATACCTCACTATTAGTATATAGAAATGCAAATATTTTTGTGTGTTGATTTTGCATCCTGCAACATTACTGAATTTATTAGTTCCAATTTTTTTAAGTAATCTTTTGGATTTTCTACACACAAAAGCATGTCATCTGCAAACAAGGACAATATGACTTCCCTCTTCCCAACTGGATTCCTTTATTTCTTTCTCTTGCTAATTGCTCTGGCTAGGACTTCCATTACTATATTGAATAAAAGTGGTAAAAGTGGATATCCTTGTCTTGTTACAGATATTAGAGAAAAGCTTTCCCTTTAAAAGCTTCCCTATTCAGTATGACATTAGCTATAGGTTCATCATGTACAACCTTCACCATGTTGAGGTATATTACTTTTGTATTTAGTCTGTTCATTTTGTTCAAAGTGAGAATGAATTCCATCAAATGTTTTTTATGCATCTATTGAAATGACCATATGGTTTTTGTACTTCATGCTGTTAATGTCTTAGGTGTATCATATTTGTTGATTTGTTTGTATTAAACCATCTTTACATTCCAGGGAAGAGTCCACTTGATTGCAGTGAATGACCTTTTAAATTTACTATTAAATTCAGTTTGCTAATATTTTATTGAAGTTTTGAATCCATGTTCATCAGGGATGGTGGCCTATTCAAGTGGTACCTTAGTTCACAAACTTAATTCATCCCATGATTTTGGGACAGATGGCCATGTTCATATGTGTTCAGGGAAGATGGCTATGGTCATGTTCTTCACCAAATGTAGAGTTAGGATAAGTTAACACCTATCAATTATAACTATCAATACAAATGGTCTCAACTCACCAATCAAAAGAAACAGATTAGCAGAATGGATTGAGAAACAGGATCCAACAATATGCTACATACAAGAAACACAAGAATGTGTGTTCTGTAGCTGTTAGAGGAGACATTCTGTAAATGCTTGTTAAGTTCCTTTGGTCTAATGTATGGTTTAAATCCCATGTTTCTCTGTTCATTTTTCATTTGAATGACATGTCCATTGATTAAAATGGGATGGTATATTCTCCTACTAGTATATTGCTGCAAACTCTCTCCTTTAATATCTACAAACATTTGTTTTATACATCTAACAAGCTAGTTACTTTCACATATTAATTACCACTTCTACTTTTGTGTTACTTTTGTTTACTGCTCCATATCCTTAGGATGGTATAACATAATATAATATGCACAACCATTTCCTGAATGAATTAACAATGCCATTATATAAAGGATTTTTTCTCTAAGTTTTATTTTAAAATATGTATTTTTTTGTCATTTTTAATCATTACCATATGTTAATCTAGATTTCATGGCTTATTCAATAAAGTCTAATTCAGTAGCTTTGTTATTTTTTCATAACTTCTACTAACACCTAACTTGCTAAGTTTTAAGCTCACTTGGAAGACACACCATCCATTTTTCAGTTACACCTCCTTATGGTGCATGAGATGATACTTTCTAAAAATTAGTCTTCAGGAAATGAGTGTGAGATAAATACAAATTTGTACTTCCTGTTAGCATGTCCTATTAATAACATTAAAAGTTCTTTCTGGATTACCTTTTGTTTTATCACACAATATTTTTTTTCTCATTTATAAAAGCAAAAATGTGCTTATATATTTACTTACCAAATGGAACACAAGTTTTTGAATCTCTATAAAAACCTTTCAATACTTATGACCCAAAATATGCAGCTTTAGATACAAACTCTGAACACGGTTTCACATTAAGCAACAAAAACAGGCTAGTAACTATGGAACGGGTTGGTAAATTACACTAGAAATAAACTAGATTCAGAATTCTTAGATATGCTTTTCACAATTAATATGAAGTGTACAGTAAAAAGCATAGTTCTTACTCCTTGAACCAGCTAAAATAGATATTCTCTATTAAAGTGGTAAAAATACAAAACTTGAAAGTGTCTGTGTCCACCTTCATCAATTATAATGTTCACAGAATGCAAATAAGTTTCATACCATGGAAGAAATAACTTTTATACCTATACTAAAACCTCTGAAGTAACTGCCATTGTAGACTGTAGCTGACAACAACATTGGCAAAAATATCATTGTGACTCAAGGAGTATCTTGAACTTAAACACATGAATTCTAAAACGTTGTTTTTTCACTATTTAAATTCCACAAATCCCATGGGAATCAAAAAGAAGTTTTACATTAAGCCTTATAATTACATTTTACTTCTTACAAAGTACATTTGTATTTTTTCTCAAAATTATTAATAAAAAAATGCCTCATGGTTGCATAGCACTTCCCATATTGCAAAGCATATATTCATTGATTTTATTCCCATAAAAACTCCATAGGATATTATACTTATTACTTCCTAAACCACAGAACATGTAAAGTTTAGGGTTGGGACCAAAACATAACTTTTCAGACTCCAAGTTCAATATTATTTTCATTGTTCTTTATTTGGCTATTTATTTTCCTGTTCTCTAAAATCTATTATTACTTTATGTCATCTTGCCTTAGGATACCTGTCATCTCATTTATATATAGCTTCTATAATTTAAAACTGGATTATAAACTCCTTCAGTAGAATATGATAGGCACTCATTAAATATCTACTAATAAATGCCTCCATTCATTGACCCCTTCTAGTTGACAGATATATGAGGGAAAAAGAAGAATTTTAGTTTATAAACAATTAACCTCAAAAAAGATTGGAAAGGAATAAAAAACTTCTCTAAACCATCTAAACTCTGAGTTGCAACTGTTGAAGAGCTTAATGTTATACAGTGAAAGCTCACTAGAATAAAAGCAGGCAGTAGGAAACCTGAGGCATTAACTGATATACAAGTGCTTTCATCTTTAATAGAGATATGTGCAAAATTTTATTGACATAAGGAAGCCAAAATCTTCAACTGTGAATTTAAAATGCTGTCTTATTTTAAAATGTCAATAATCAAAACAAGTGATGATTTTCAAGTTGACTCTTTTCTTTCTGTCTCCAAGAATATTAATTTAGATTTCTCTAGTTACATTTTAAACTCGTAGTAGTAAGAAGGGAAATACTTCAGACTTAATCTGTGATGTATTAAAAAAAAAAAGTAATATTTAGAACTTTAAAACAGAAGGAAATAGTCATATAAACTGTAGTTAACCAGTTTACACTTATGATCTTTCCTTCTGTACTGCCAACATGGTCAACACAATGGGTTATCTATATCCACAATTTAAAGGCACATACAAGTAAGAGTTTGTCAAGGAAATAAAGACCAACCTAGCATTAGAAACAGGACAGTTTTTCAAACAATAGACCTCATGTATGAAAGTTGGCAAATATGATTATCAAGTGGAAGTTTGAATACTATGCATAGTTAACAAAAAATATCAAAATTGTAACACACTTTAATGGACTTTTTCTTTTTAACCCATTTGAATGGCATTCGTTTTCATTTAGCTATAATTACTAGATGTGAATATGCTAAATACTACTGAATCATACACTTTCAAATCTTATGGTATATGAATTTCACCTCAAAAACATGTATACATTATATACATATATTTATATTTGTTACCAATAATATATGTACTATGTTGCTAAATTACAAGAAAAAAAAACTATCCATTTCATTTAGTGATCATGGCTCAATCTTTCTCTAAGACAATTAGTCTCTCTCATCTCTGGACACAAACCAAAATCCCATGGACAGTCACCTTGAGAACACATCACATGTAAAATAATGGAAGTGAAAAATGACAGAGGCATCGATTCTTTCGAATGCCAAAATATTCCCATTAAAAATATCTCAATGAGTAAAAGCAAAAGTTTTGAAAGTACTCTTCATCTGGTTAGTGTTCTATAAAGAAAACACAGCAAATAAAGAGATTACTATGTCAATACTCAACTTTAAAAAATAATATAGCATTAAAATAAGCAATGTGAATAGATTTTTTTAAATTTTCACCAAAGGAAAAAAATATCCTTAATAAATCATAAGAGTAATTCAACTGCTATTTTTCCACTTATTAAGGAATTTCATTATCATTATTCAATAAACTCTTTCTTCAAAATGTCTCATGGCACCATTTTGAAAGTATTTCAAGGGACATTCTCAAAAGTACATAGTTTATAACCTGAAATTTCCCTTGAAAAAGAAATTATATTCATGTTTTAATTTTTTATTTAAAATAACTTTACTGTTCAATATATTTTAAATACTGATATATTTAAGTTATAAATTATAAAAACTATTTTAATGTAAAATATTAAAAATGCGTATTTCCTTATTGGGCTTAACATAGTAGTCAATTTTGAAGCATTATATTCAAGGGATTGCCAAAACAATAACTGCTAAACTTTAAGTGTTGCAGACCATAAATCGTTTCTCCTAACATTACAATTAATACCACAATGAACTACATCAAAATATACATTAAAAACTAGACTGGAAACGTACATCAACAAATTGTATGATAAAGTGTCTCCTTTGTCCATCAGAATATACAGAAAGGACATATTCACCAGGTTTCCCATGACTCTCTCGCACCAAGAAGTCTCCTTGTTGTTTTAACAGTTCTTGGGCTTCTATTCTGGGAATTGCACCATGGTACCAGTCATGGTCCGCCAGGGGCTTCTCACTCACGGTGATCACGTCAGAGAACTGAACAAACAGTTGTTAGAAAGTACATTAGAGAAAATAATGGGTTTTTCCAGGTAAAATTCATAGTAATTACAAGTAATTCTTACATAAGTTCCTCCCTGTCTTTGCCCACTTAAAAACTATATTAATAAAGCTGAAATTTTCATGATTTTTAAAGAAAGTATCTTCTGGAGTGGCAGAAATACCTATCTTTCAATACTGTTTTTTCCTCAATTTACCATATACAGTTACATACAGTATTAGCATTTAGAGTTAGCATTATAATTTCATTCACCATATCACAAAATTAATCTATATATTAAAATATATTAACCAGAATAATTACAAAGAAAATGGAGTACTGTCAGGTAAATTTATCATAAAAATAACTATTTAAAAAGTTTGTTTCTTTTCCTGGAATAAACATTTGATCACAGGCTGTGAACTGTCCAACTTCATATATTCCAGGAGCACTAGCTCAGGTTCATTTTCTGTCTCACTGAATCTCTTCTCACTCATCTTTGACTTCCTTTACTATTACCTCTGCCACATGGCTGGTCTCCTCTTGCATAGCAATGGTAGATAAAGCCTTTGAGAAATAGATCACTGAAAACCACCAACATGCAATTACTAATGCATGCAAAACCAGGGGATAATTATTAAGTGATGGACACAGAAGAAAAAGCAAATTATCCATTATTTTAGGAGATCAAATGCTTACACCAACTAGCAGAGATAATTAAGAGCTGACTATATCATATATTTTCTGATCACAAGTGAAAAGTTTTATTGTTGTATTACATTTGCCCCCAGGAACTAAACTAATATAGATGATAAGAGTACTTTATAATTAAGTTACAATAATGTGCACTGCTTCTTAAGGTTCACAAGATACAATAAGCATAACGCTTCAGAAGATGCATTTAGTTTAATTTATAAACAAAAAGTCAGGATTAGTAACAAATATCATAGTTTAAATCTGAAATGTCCCCCAATGGCTTATGTGTTGAGTCTTGAGTGTGTGGCACACTTTAGAGGTGGTAAAACTTTAGTAGGTGGGACACAGTAGAAAGAAGTTAGTTCACTGGGGTGTGTCCTTGGAGGGGATACCAGGATCCAAAGCTCTTACAGGCTCTGCCTTTTTGCCACTGGCTTAGACAAGGTGAGGTGCTACTCTACCATGTACTTCCAACATGATATACTATGCTGCCACAGGCCCAAAAGCAATGGAGCCAATGAACCATGGGCTGAAATCTCTGAAACAATGAGACAAACTTTTCTCCCTATAAGCTGTTCATCTGTTATTTTTTACAGTGACATAATGCTTACCAATACATTAAATAAAGGTAAATATTCACTTATGGGATATTATAGGCTGACAGACATAATACATATTTACTTGGAGTAAATGAAAATTAGTTTTGAACACAGCCTTCAATACATTTGTGCCACTGAAGAGAAATCCAAATGTTACTGTTCCATGACCCATCTCATGTTATATAAAATTCATTTTGTTGGTTAAAAAAAAATGTAAAGACCCACACAAACCTTACAAAAGTGTACACTTTCATTTTTACTTCTTCCAATTACGACATTTTCTCACTTTTAAAATTATATACATTATCCCCATCACCACACAGGAGGTGAGCCGCTCCCAGCACACAAGAGGAGGCTTCTGGGCCACCATACCATCCCCACAAGCACACTGGAGGTGAGCCGCATGGGCACCAGCAACACTACCCCATACGCCCCACCCCCAGCCCCGTTAAAATGAGAAGACATCTAAACAAGTCTCAAAACCAGACTTCCAGATCACCTGCAGTAACCCCAAAGGGAAACAAGATGGAACACTCTGATACTCAACCACCTGGACTCCCTGAACTAGCAAAAAAAAGAGGATCTGGAAAAAATGAAATCAGAAATAATTTCTCAGATAACAGCAGAGATTGTGCTCATAGTGCAAGACATGATTAATAAATCT